ATCAAAAAAGTACTCCAGAGTGTTGTTCAGCATGGGGGTGAGTAGAAAATGAAGGCTAATCATGTTTTGGGTGTACTATTCCTTTAACAGGAGGTCTGACAGCTGTATTTAACACAAATGAATGCAATAAAGAGGAACACTAAAATATAAGCATCACATCAAATTAAATGTTGGATTTAAAACAATTAGAAGACAAGACATGATCAAAATGATCAAATGCCATAACTATAAAGGAATTAACAGCAGGGAGTGGGGTCTGCAGGGTCTCTACAGACCTGTGGTGTCTAGGAGGTGCAAAAAGAAGGGGGGACCTTGTGGTTAGGGCATAGAGCTTGGAATCCAGAGGTTCTGAGTTCAAGCCCCACTCCCACCGCCTGCCACTCTGGGTCCCAGAGCAAGACCCTTAACCCCTCACAATGGCAGCTCACTGCTCCCCAAGGGAATGGATTAAATGCAGAGAATTAATTTTGTTGCTCTGTATGCTGATAAAGATTCTCAGTCATCCAGGTCATAGTCATTCCGTAAAAGTTCAAAAAATATCCACTGGACTTGGTTTCCAAGATTTGAAGACGTTTTGCCACCTCTCCAGGAAGCTTTCTCAATTCAAATGTCTGGATCCACAGTGAGTTTGAGTCCTATATAGACAAAGCCTTGTATCGCTTGGAAATATGCAAATAGTAACCGATGAATGGGCCGTTTGGTTCAATTGTTAGCCTGTAATACCTGAAACCTGTCTATGATTCTGAAGGTCGGTCGTTAAAGGGGGGGGATTGTCGTTAAGGGGGGGGGATTGTCTCCTGTAATACCTGAAACCTGTCTATGATTGTTAAGGGTCGGTCGTTAAGGAGGTTTTGTTCACCGGCTGGAGCGGGTAGGTCCTTTGCGCTGTACTTGTGACAGTGTAATGACAATAAAAGCTGAAAGAAAAGAAAAACTAAGACCTTGATGGACTTTTGGGCCTACAGCAGAATGTTAGAAGTGTTGTTGAACAAACATGGAGCACAAGCAGTGATTTAAAGATGTTTCCACTGATCCATTTCCCTTGGTGTTGGTCAGAAGTCTTCATTAATATTTTTGGATAAACTGTAGCTAGATGAGTTGTTACAAAATAACAATGTTTAGAAGCTTTGCTTCCTTAAGGAGGTTTTGAGTTCTTGACTTCCAATCTGGCAAAAGAAATGAAATTCACTGCTTCATCATCTGTCAAACACAGATTTTATCCTAATTTCTGACAAATGTTGGAGGAGGGTTGTACATCAGGCTACAGCGTCATGGGCTCTCTTCATGGAGTCTCTCTGTTCTCTCACTTTAGCAGATCATTATCAGATAATTCTGTTATAAATTGTAAAGAATCTATTCTACTTTCTCTCTCCTTTGTGTCGCTGAGCAGTGCTGCAGAGTGCAAACGTTTAGCTTATTTCCCTTCACATGTTGATGATTTTGTTGATGGGGTTGCTAGTTCTCTGCATACTGCCTTAGACAACGCAGCTCCTTTAAAAAAATAAGGCCCTGTCCCAATCCTCTCACTTGGCTCTGAGAACACTCCAGTGAGTTCTCTCAGCAGTAAAGTTCACTCAGTGAAAGAAGTGCAAGTGAAGATTTTGTCAATATGAAATTACACTCCAGCCCAACAGATGACGGCAATACATTGCCTTTACACTTCTGTGACGTGTTCACCTACATCATGTGTAAACATAACATGAGTCACAACCTGCTCCAGCAGTTATTTTACCTATTGCCTGGGTGCTGATGACCTTTCTCTGTGTGTCCAACCTGCAGAGAATAAATGTGCAAAACCGAAGGCTGCTTCACCACAATTTTTTCCTTTCTAATCCGTTTGTCCGTTTACGATATACAGACTCATTTACACACACTTCTCCTGACAATCTGATCTGACAACAGGTGATGTAGACATGGAGGTAGCCTGACTATAGGTAATCAAGAATCTCCTGCATGCCTGACTCGAGCCTAGAAATACATTGTTCAACGTCCGGACGCCACTGTCTGTCTGCCGATGGGCCGGATCATTCCATTAACGCTCAGTGGAGAGGACCCAGTAATCAGACAGACAGACAGATTTCTCAAAGGGTGTTTATTAGAAATGACGGATCTGCAGTGAACAGCTAACGCGTCTAAGGCAGGAACCTCTGCATGGGGAGAAAATCAAATCAGTCATCAGTGCAAAGATTTGCTCAAATCATAATTATTGGCTAAATTTAGAGCATAAATAGGGAATCTGACTTCCCACTGCATACTTTTAACATTGGAAAATGTCAAACACACATATGCAGCAGTTTAGGAGTCACCCATGTGTGGGTTTGTCCCTGTCATTATTGGTGATAGTGCAGCATGATTTTCTGTTTACAGCAGAAAACAGTGTGTCACTACTGTGGCTGTAAGGAAGTTATTGAGTTTAACAATATACAACCAGTAGTTGCTGATTTAAGCCTTCTGTAGCACCGCCCTGTAGATACGAATCTAAAAAGTCTCTGAGCTGGATGGGTACAGAGGTTAGTTTCACTTTTTCCAACCCTAGAACCATATAACCTATTTTAACTTCACTCCAGTGGCTGCCCATCCATCTTAGGATTCATTGCAAAATATTTATTTACTTTTAAAGCCTTGAATGGCCTTGCCCCACTTTACACTCCCAGCCGATCTCGCAGGTCAGCTGACCAGCTGCTCCTAGCAGTGCCTAAAGTAAGGCTTAAGCGAGAGGGGATCGAGCGTCACCTCTTTTCTTTGGCTTTTGACACCATGTAGACTGTTGATTTTAATTTATTTGATTTACTTTTATTTATTTTTTATTTATTTTATTTATTTTATCTTTTTGTGCAGCACTTTGGAAACCTTGCGTTTATTGAAATCGTGCTATATAAATAAAGTGGATTGGATTGGATAACTCTGTACTGGAGGGAAGGTGAGGCCTGCACTGTGCAACTTGATAAGTAAGATCAAATGATATCAGTTTGCCTTTAACCATTTACGCTTACTAACTAAATTACTAAATCATAAAGAGAAATTCTATTAAGTAGTTTTTCATTATTTTCTTTGGTAAGGTACCAGGGGTATCACAATTTTATTTGATTTTCATCCAGTAAACTAATCTTAAAACCAGCAAAAACCTTGCTTTTCGATGTTCTTTTTCCCAAATGTTATCTAATGCATGTCGTCTAAACTCACCAGTACTGCGACACCCTAACTCAAGTGATAAAATGCTATTTTAAAAGCAAAATATCTATTAATTTTGTAATAACACAGTAACAATCAGTTATTTGCATGATTGCCCATTATTCACTTTGGAAAAGTAACATTCTGTCAATATTCAATCAGCTACCAGGAACATTAAACCGTCCTGATAATTCCTGTTCCCACCTATGATCATTAATCTGGATCAGGACCTAAAGAACTGATTAAGATCCTTAATTCAAACTTGCTCTGCAGGGAGGCTGGGCTCTCCCTTAGAGAGAGGGTGAGGAGCTTGGTCATCAGGGAGGGGATCAGAGTAGAGCTGCTTCTCCTCCAGAGGAGTCAGCTGAGGAGGATCAGATATCTTTATCTGATGTCTCCTGGACGCCTCCCTCTGAGGGGTTCCAGGGACGTCCAACCAGGAGGAGGACCAAGGGATGACCAGGACACTAAGGAGGGACTATGTCCCAGCAGAGTTAGTGGAGGAGTCTGGGTAGAGGGCGGTCTGGGAGACTCTGCTGAGACTGCTGCCCCCATGACCCATTTCCAGATAAAGAGGAAGACATTAGTGCAGATGGCTGCTCACATAGAGTCTGGTTCTGCTGGATGTTTCTTCCTGTTCAAAGGGAGTTTTTACTCTCCACTGTCGCTACAAGCATGCTTAGTGTGAGGGATTACTGAAGAGTCAATGAGTAGATGCAATCAACTGGTTTTCCTTAGATAGAAAAGTTTGAAAGTGCCTTGAGATGACATGTGTTGTGAATTGGAACTATAGAAATAAACTAAATTAATTGAACTCAATTTGTCTTAAGCTAGAAGAAGTTTTTGCAATCTAAGGATATTTTGGATACACTGATTAAGTAAAGGCAGTGGACTGAGTGGGGAAAAAGACTGTATGCTATCAGCATGGATATTGGAAGTGGACTCATAATAATGATCAGCTTTCCTTCTCCTTTCAGATCACCTAAACAGCCTGAAGACAATTTCTTCAGGGAAAATTTTAGCACAACTCATGTTCTTTCAGTATAAATGGCTATAAATAGCCCATTCCAATTTCTTTCTTCATATAGATCACCTGACTGCTACCATTCCTAAGCAACCAATTCCTTAGATCAGTCCTCCACAAAATCATCAAGACTTTGTAGAAAAGTACCTACCCTGTACCTCCCTTTGTTTCTACAGTGCTGCCTCACTGAGTGGCCTGATCTTCTTATTTCCTCGTTCCACTGTTAGTCCGGGTGTCAAAGCTTCCCTGAAACTGTTGGGATCTGGAGATCTGCCACCTGTCTCCAGCAGAGAGCGCTGTGGGGCTCCTGAGCTGGAACCTTTCTAAACATCTGAGGATCATCAGGAGACCTCCCTACTTAAAGGAATAGTACACCCAAAACATGATTAGCCTTCATTTTCTACTCACCCCCATGCTGAACAACACTCTGGAGTACTTTTTTGATATCTCAAA